GAAGAAAACTAATCATCAATGAATTAGAGGATAAATTAACGAGAGAGAAGATGAGAAGTAGTAAGGTTTCATTTCTTTTTTTTTTTACCACATTTTTTTTTCTGCTGAAAATAAGACTAGACTAATGCGATGAACAGATAAAACAAGATTAAAAACAACTAACAACAAATGGTTAGCTGCCAATAATTTTTTAATGTAAATTTTGATTACCTCCCCCTTCCCTCCAAAAAAAAAAACTTTCAATTTTTTCAAAATTTTTCATCTTATATCACCGAAAAAATAAAAAGTCTTTTCGGGTTATTGAGAGTGAATAAACCCTTTTCTGCTCTGCTGAATAATTAGTAAAGCAGTTTAATGTAACAATTCTGTAAATCCATCATATTGAACTAATAAAAAAATGTTTCTTTTTTCATTTCCGTTTACGAGCATGAAATAAATTTGAAAAAATAAGAGTGCAAAAAAATTAATCCAGCAATGGTTTACAAAAAAATTACTTTTGTTCAGTATTTTGTTTTTTGCTTTTGTTAAAATGTATCAAGTAAACAATGTACCCATTAAAAGAAGTTGAAGAAGAAGGAGATGAAGAAGAAGCAAAAAATACATTTCGCATGATATTAATAAAAGTAAAAAAATTTGACAAATGACTTTGAGATCAGTCCAAAGGTCGAAGAAATAAGCAATTAATTGTTTCTGTCTTTTAAGACAATATTAGTAATGGCATCTTCAAATATGTTTATACCAGATTATAGTTTGTAAACTTAGTCTAAAAATTATTATTATTTTTGTTTTGTTTTGTCTTCCTTTAGCTCTAATTTTATCACTAATTTAATAGCAATCATCTTGAAACAATAAATCGTCGATAACCGAATCTATTGTTATACCAAATTCACGTGCTAATTGCAATACACCAACTGTGGCAGCTCCAAGTTTCTGAAATTATAGATATTAGGCAACATCTGCTTTGAATAAAAAACTGCTTCTCTATTATACTTATCTTAATGATTCATTACTTAAAAAAACTACTAAATTTAATGACCAACCGAAAATGATGCAACCAACAATAATAAATTGCCAAATCGTGATGCAGCTTCTGAAGGCTGTAAACGATTACTGAGAAAGGCAAATAGAGCATGTTGAACAGATTCTCGGGCTATGGTCATCAGTTGCACTGATCGTGGTTTTAATCTACCAGCATGAGGATCAATGGTTAAAATTGCTTTCAAAGCCACCAATTCATAATCGCATAATGAAAGACGTCTCATCGGAGATAAAACTTGACTGATAATACCGTACTTTACTGTGCTATAAAAATACAGTCAAAAACTCTAATTCAGTTTCTGTATCTGGTTCAGAAGTAAGCATTGTCTTTAATAAATGTAAAGTTGTTGACATTAAAAAAAATCCCTCTTTTTTGATGATTAGTTTTTGCAGTAAATAGACTGTTAAATTGTCGATTAACTCTTGGTTCGTCAACTTCTTTTTTACTCAGTTTTTCCAACAAAAAAAAAAA